GAGGGGGCGAGATGGAGGGACTGTGGAATGGAGTACCCGAGGGTGGGTGCAGAGTGGTTAAGGCTCCCCGCCGATAGTGGGGTGAGCAAGGCGGAGGACATGAAGCAGGCTGGAGCCACTGAGCAGAGGGAGTAAACAGGATGGTAGGGGGTTAGGAGGTTGGAGAGGTGGGCGGGAGCCAGACGGTGGAGGACTTTGAAGGTGAGGACCAGGATCTTAAACTGTATCCTCTGTGTGATGGGAAGCCAATGGAGTTGGGCAAGGATGGGGGTGATAGGATCACGGAGCCTAGTGCGGGAGAGGACACGGGCTGCAGAGTTCTGGATGATCTCCAGCCTGTGAAGGGGGGAGTTGGGATGTCTACAAGCAGAAAGTTTGCATAGTCGAGACTCAATGTAATGAAGGCATGTTTGAGGGTTTTGGCGGTCTGCGGTGTGAGATATTGTTTGAGCCGGGCGACGTTGCACAGGAAGGGGAAGGCAGAGCAGGTCATGGCGCAGATGTGAAATCAAATGGATAGTCGAGGGTCAAACAAGACCCCGAAGTTCCAGACTGGCTTACCAAGGTGGAATGTGTAACCAAGGATTATTATTATTATGATGAATGGTGATGCTGTCAACGCCTGAGGTGAGAAGATGCTGATGGGAGCCAATCAGGAGAGCCTCGGTCTTGTTGACGTTCAACTGAAGAAAGTTAGCTCTCATCCAGGACTTGACGTCTGACAGTCATTCTGGATTATTATTATTAAACAACAACACATTACATGTGTATAGCGCCTTTCATGTCGGGAGAACGTCCCTGGTAGCTACACTGATAGGATTCATAATAATATTAATAATCCTTGCATTTGATATAGCGCTTTTCATGTCTTTGAGACGTTTCAGAGCGCTTCACAGTATATACTGCTAAGTGAATTGACTGTATATTTGTGGGCAAAATATAGATAAGTTTTATTTGTTATTGTTAGTCGATTGGCAGATAAATAATAATCAATATTATTTATTATTGTTAGTCGATTGTCGGATACATAAATAAGTAACAATTTTACGAAAGCACACACCATTCAGAGAGATACATCTATATTCCATAACAAATGTATGGCATGTTTTCTAATTGTCATGGGAGTTAGAGTCCTCCCATGTGGGACAGACAGACAGAGAGAGGGAGACTGAGAGAAACTGATTGTCCTCCCACAGGGGTCCTCTCAGCTGAGTATAGATAAAGATGAAATGTCTGTCTGTGTGTCTGTCTGTGTGTCAATCTACATTCCATATTGGACCTCGTGGTTACAAGCGAAGCTGCAACAGTTACAGCTATTTGTGAATATACAGAGTTGAATGACACAACATCCGAAACTATAGGACGTCCCAAGGCTCTGAACAGACGGTGTTACGGATCTGAGCTGAGGGTGGAGGGCAGGGAAATTGAGAGCACGGTTGAAGAGGAGGGTCTTGCGGTGGGTCTTGAGGGTGGCAAGGGAGGGGGCGAGAGGGAAGGACTGTGGGATGGAGTTCGAGACGATGGATGCAGAGTGGAGAAAGCCCACCTGTCGATAGTGGGGCAAGCAAGACGGGGGACGTGGAGCAGGCCGGAGCCCGCTGAGTGGAGGGAGCGAACAAGGTTGTAGGGGTTTAGGAGGTCGCAGAGGTAGGGGGGAGCCAGACGGTGGAGGACTTTGAAGGTGAGGACCAAGATCTTGAACTGTATCCCTGTGTGATGAGAAGCCAGTGGAGTTGGGCAAGGATGGGGTGATAGGGTCGTGGAGCCTAGTGCGGAATAGGATACGGGCTGCAGAGTTTTGGATGATCTCCAGCCTGTGGAGGGAGGAGTTGGGGAGGCCGACAAGCAGTGAGTTTGCATAGTCGAGCCTTGATGTCATGAAGGCGTGAATGAGGGTTTCGGTGGTCTGCTGTGTGAGACAGTGTCGGAGCTGGGCGACGTTGCGGAGGTGGGGGAAGGCAGAGCAGGTCATGGCGCAGATGTGGGATCGAAAGGATAGTTGAGGGTGAACAGGAACCCAAGGTTGCAGACTGGCTTAGCATGGTGGAGTGCACAACCATGAATGGTGCAACCATGAATAATGTGGAGTCCTGCAGCTCAATGGTTAGAGCACTCACCTCTCAAGCGAGAGACCTGGGTTCAATTCCTGGCAGGGCGAAACCTTGGGCAAGCTTCCTTACTCAATATGCATAATAATAATCCCTCAAGAAAAAAGACCCAATAATAAATTGGTCACTTCAATCCACGACTGTTTGTGGGACACTGCTGTGCGCAATTTGGCTGCCGCATTTCACCCACAGACAATTCACTTCACAGTATATTCTGTGAAGCGCTTTGAGATGTCTAGAAGACGTGAAAAGTGCTATATCAAATGCAAGGATTATTATTATTATTATGAATAGTGATGCTGTCAACGCCTGAGGTGAGAAGATGCTGATGGGAGCCAATCAGGAGAGCCTCGGTCCTGTTGACGTTCAACTGAAGAAAGTTAGCTCTCATCCAGGACTTGATGTCTGACAGACATTCTGGATTATTATTAGTAACAACAACACATTACATGTATATAGCATCATTTCATGTCGGGAGTACGTCCCAAGCAGCTACACTGATAGGATGCATAATAATAATAGTAATCCTTGCATTTGATATAGCGCTTTTCATGTCTTCGAGACATCTCAAAGTGCTTCACAGAATATACTGTGAAGTGAATTGACTGTATATTTGTGGGCGAAACGTAGATAAGTTATTATTTGTTATTGTTAGATTGGCAGATAAATAATAATAAATATTATTTATTATTGTTAGTCAATTGTTGGATACATAAATAAGTAATGATTTTACGAAAGCACACACCATTCAGAGAGATACATCTATATTCTACAACAAATATATGGCATGTTTTCTGGTTGTCATGGGAGCTGGAGTCCTCTCATGTGGGACAGACAGACAGAGAGAGGGAGACTGAGAGAGACTGATTGTCCTCCCACAGGAGTCCTCTCAGCTGAGTATAGATAAAGATGAAATGTCTGTCTGTGTGTCTGTCTGTGTGTCAATCTACATTAAATATTGGACCTCGTGGTTACAAGCGAAGCTGCAATGGTTACAGCTATCAGTGAATATACAAAGTTGAATGACACAACATCCGAAACTGAAGCGGAAATTGCCAAGGATATCTTTGCCTGGCCAGGAATACCAAGGGAAATGATTAGTGATCATGGGCCCCAATTTTCAAGCAAGGAGTACAAGACATTACAAGCCAGTGGGAGAAAAACCACACAACAACTTCACCGGGGTATCCCCAATGTAATGGTCTGGTGAATTGCGAAATACAGACGATAGAGAAAATGTGGAAGACAGACAACGCAAAGGCAGATAAGCACCTGGCAATTCTGGCCTACAGAAACACGCCGAACGACAATGAAGGACATTCACCAGCACAAATACTGATGTCAATACAGTTAAGAGATTTATTAATCTCAGACCAAACACAATTGAGACCTCAGATACAACACAATAGAAATGGAGGGAAACCACAAAGTGAACCAGGAAAGGGAGAACTTTTGCAAAAGGAGAAAAAATACCTAAAAACAGAAGCTTGGACAAAAGGAGACATTTGGAAGAAGGATAAAAACCCAAGATCATATTGGCTTAAAAGTGATAACAGAAAAATATATAGCAGAAAGTCATGGGAAATACGCCAAAGAAGGACAGAGGAAGAAAAAGAAGAGCAGATCCGAATATTCTAGAAACATCAAGAACCACCAGTTCAGGAAGACGAGTAAAACCAACAAGGAGAATAATTATATAAGACTGAGACACAAAGAAAAAAATATGAAGAAACCAAAACGGGAGTGATATTGGATACCCTTTAAGAAAATAAGGACCAATGAAAGGGGATCAGGAGATAGAAAGTCCTGTAGCTCAGTGGTTAGAGCGCTCGCTTTGCAAGCGAGAGAGCTGAGTTCAATTCCAGGCAGGGCGAAACCTTGGGCAAGTTTCCTTACTCCACACGCCTAATAGTAATCCCTCCAAAAAAACAAAACAATAATAAATTGGTCATTTTCAATCTACGACTGTTTGTGGGATATTGCTGTGCACAATTGGCTGCCGCATTCGCCCACAAATATACAGTCAATTCACTTTACAGTGTGTTCTGTGAAGCGCTTTGGGACATCCTCCCGACGTGAAAGCGCTATATCAACTGCAAGGATTATTATTATTATTATTATTAAAGCAGGAAGCGTGGAGAACTGACCAGAGGTTTTTTGGTTGGATTGTTTGATTTGTAACTTGTGAACTGAGAAAACGAAAATTTCTACACTTGGAGTGTTGTGAACACAACAGATTCTTTGCATGAGAGAAACTCCTTTCTCTTATTGATTTTCAACATCCTTTCCCTTTCTCCTCAACTCAGTGTCAAACTCTGCCACAGTTAAGCACTCGGAGACACTACCCGGTGTAAAGGGAGCTATATAAATGCATATATAAATATATAAATTAATTTGATGTAGCTTTTCTGTGCAATGGGCAAAAGCAACACTGTACAGAATGATAAAAACAAGTGCTGCAAAAGCATACAGCAGCACCAGGTGGCAGCTGTTCAACTTGCACTTAAGGAAAGTACCACTTATTTCTAAATGGGCTTTCCTCTTGTCTGTGTTATTTTGGTGAAGGTAGAACTCCCCTGGCCAAAGAAGAGCACATTAAAAATGACATGAAAAAAGTTAGAAACCCTGGGCAAAAACTCAGCATGTACCGAATCTTAGGTGTAGAATAACTTTGAAGGTATATGATCGGTTATATGGAGACGAGTATTGGTAAAAAACTGAATTGCAACTCCCTCTCCATTCGTGTGTTACACAACTTAGTATTGTGTAAGGAGCACATTTAAGCAGCGCAAAGTTATGGAATTAGGTCATCAAGTGATTTATGTAAGGGTGAAGTAATAAAAAGCTCAAAGCGCTTCACAGAATTTACTGTAAAATGAATTGACTGTGGGGACGACATAAGGCGCTATATGAAATGCAAGGCTGATTATTATCAGCAGGAGTTGTTGTGTGAGCTGTAGGGCCTGGCAGGCAGGCAGGCAGGCAGGCAAGGCAGGAGCTAATGTGTAGAGCGGCCACTGAGTCAGAGTAGCGAGGGAGGGAGCGAGAATCAATCAAATAAGTGACGTGTGCACTGTGAAGGAGGGCGTAGGGAAATGAGGTAAGAGGCAGCAGCAGAAGCAGAGGGAAAGCAGCGAGCAGCAGGCAGGCAGGCAGGCAGGCAGGCAGGCAGGAGTGCGGGGGAAGAGGGGCGAGAAGGGGGTGTGTAGGGCAAGGAGGGTGTGTGGCAGCTGACCGTGGGGAGGGAGGTGTAGAGACTGCACACGGGCGTTGGGGGTGGGGCTGTCTGTTTATGGGGAGAAACATATGAAAGCTGAGGCGAGGAGCGGAGGCAGTTGTGGAGGGGACAGGGAGTGAGAGCCTTTATCGCTTCTCGGCCTTTTGGCTAAGATCAAGTGTAGTATCTGTTCTTATCAGTTTAATATCTGATACGTCCCCTATCTGGGGACCATATATTAAATTGATTTTTGGAGCAGGGAGATGGAATAGGGGCTTGCTCCGTCCACTCCACGCATCGACCTGGTATTGCAGTATCTCCAGGCACGGTGCACCTCCCTCGGGAGATTGCAAACAGTGACAAATAGACAAATCCTCACCCTCCCCACTGAGTGACAACTTTGTTGGGATTGTGTGTATGTTTGATCATAACCATCTCAAAGCGTTTCACTGATTGGATTGTAAAGTGAATCACCAGCTCTATCAAATGCAACAACGATAAAATTACAACTGTAAAGCGCCTTTCACATTGGGAGGACGTCCCAAGGCACAGTGTTACGGATCCGAGCTGAGGGTGGAGGGCAGGGAAATTGAAAGCACGGTTGAAGAGGAGGGTCTTGAGGGTGTCAAGGGAGGGGGCGAGAGGGAAGGACTGCGGATGGAGTACCCGAGGGTGGGTGCAGAGTGGTTAAGGCTCCCCGCCGATAGTGGGGTGAGCAAGGCGGAGGACATGAAGCAGGCTGGAGCCACTGAGCAGAGGGAGTAAACAGGATGGTAGGGGGTTAGGAGGTTGGAGAGGTGGGCGGGAGCAAGACGGTGGAGGACTTTGAAGGTGAGGACCAGGATCTTAAACTGTATCCTCTGTGTGATGGGAAGCCAATGGAGTTGGGCAAGGATGGGGGTGATAGGATCACGGAGCCTAGTGCGGGAGAGGACACGGGCTGCAGAGTTCTGGATGATCTCCAGCCTGTGGAGGGGGGAGTTGGGATGTCTACAAGCAGAAAGTTTGCATAGTCGAGACTCAATGTAATGAAGGCATGTTTGAGGGTTTTGGCGGTCTGCGGTGTGAGATATTGTTTGAGCCGGGCGACGTTGCACAGGAAGGGGAAGGCAGAGCAGGTCATGGCGCAGATGTGAAATCAAATGGATAGTCGAGGGTCAAACAAGACCCCGAAGTTCCAGACTGGCTTACCAAGGTGGAATGTGTAACCAAGGATTATTATTATTATGATGAATGGTGATGCTGTCAACGCCTGAGGTGAGAAGATGCTGATGGGAGCCAATCAGGAGAGCCTCGGTCTTGTTGACGTTCAACTGAAGAAAGTTAGCTCTCATCCAGGACTTGACGTCTGACAGTCATTCTGGATTATTATTATTAAACAACAACACATTACATGTGTATAGCGCCTTTCATGTCGGGAGAACGTCCCTGGTAGCTACACTGATAGGATTCATAATAATATTAATAATCCTTGCATTTGATATAGCGCTTTTCATGTCTTTGAGACGTTTCAGAGCGCTTCACAGTATATACTGCTAAGTGAATTGACTGTATATTTGTGGGCAAAATATAGATAAGTTTTATTTGTTATTGTTAGTCGATTGGCAGATAAATAATAATCAATATTATTTATTATTGTTAGTCGATTGTCGGATACATAAATAAGTAACAATTTTACGAAAGCACACACCATTCAGAGAGATACATCTATATTCCAGAACAAATGTATGGCATGTTTTCTAATTGTCATGGGAGTTAGAGTCCTCCCATGTGGGACAGACAGACAGAGAGAGGGAGACTAAGAGAAACTGATTGTCCTCCCACAGGGGTCCTCTCAGCTGAGTATAGATAAAGATGAAATGTCTGTCTGTGTGTCTGTCTGTGTGTCAATCTACATTCCATATTGGACCTCGTGGTTACAAGCGAAGCTGCAACGGTTACAGCTATTTGTGAATATACAGAGTTGAATGACACAACATCCGAAACTATAGCGGAAATTACCAAGGATATCTTTGCCTGGCCAGGAATACCAAGGGAAATAATTAGTGATAATTGGTCAAGCAAGGAATACAAGACATTCACAAGGCAGTGGGAGAAAAACCACAAAACAACTTCATTGGGGTATCATCTATATATAATATATATAACTATATATATAATGGTATAATGGTCTGGTGGATTGGGAAATACAGGCTAATCTTGTTGTTGTTTTTGTTGTTGTATAGAGAAAATGTGGAAGACAGACAACATAAAGGCAGATAAGCACCTGGCAATTCTGGCCTACAGAAACACGCCGAACGACAATGAGGGTCATCCACCAGCACAAATACTGATGTCAATACAGTTAAGAGATTTGTTAATCTCAGATGAAAAATAATTGAGACCTCAGATACAACACATGAAGGACCAGTGAAAGAGGATCAGGAGACAGAAAGCAGGAAGCGTGGAGAACTGACCAGAGGGTTTTGGATTGGATTATTTGATTTGTAACTTGTGAACCAAGAATAAAATAAATTTCTACACTTGGAGTGTTGGGAACACAACAGATTCTTTGCATGAGAGAAACTCCTTTCTCGTATTGATTTTCAGCATCCTTTCCCTTTCTCTTCAACTCAGTATCAAACTTTGCCACAGTTTAGCACTCGGAGACACTACCCGGTGTGAAGGGAGCTCTATAAATGCATATATAAATATATAAATTAATTTGATGTTGCTTTTCTGTGCAATGGGCCAAAACAACCCTTTACAGAATGATAAAAGCAGGTGCTGCAAAACTATACAGCAGCACCAGGTGGCAGCTGTTCAACTTGCACGAAAGGAAAGTACCACTTATTTTCAAATGGGCTTTCCTCTTGTCTGTGTTATTTTGGTGAAGGTAGAACTCCCCTGGCCAAAGAAGAACACATTAAAAATGACATGAAAAGCGTTAGGAAACCTGGGCCAACCTAAGCAGACACCCAATCTTAGGTGGAGAATAACTTTGAAGGTATCATATGATCAGTTATCATATGGAGATGAGTATTGGTAATAAACTGAATTGCAGCTCTCCCTCTCTATTTGTGTATTATATAACTTTGTGTTGTGTAAGGAGCACATTTAAGCAGCACAAGATTATGGAATTAGGTCATTAAGTGATTTATGTAAGGGTGAAATAACAAAAAGCAGAGTTCAATTTCTTTGATAAACTTGACCGGATAGTAATCTCGCCTCCGAGTTAAAATGTTGTGGGTTCAAGTCCTACTTCGGGACTTTCAACTCCCACTCCAATGTAATGCAGGGGAACATTGCATTGTTGGTGGTCTTGTCTGCCTGTTCTACTTATCAACAAACCCCCAGGTAAACTCACTTCATGATTCACTTCATAGCTATTGGTGGGACATTGCTGTGCACAAATTGCCTGCTGTGTTCACCTCCAAAAATACACAGAAATGCACTCTCCACTGAAGTTTTGTGGAGTGCTTTGACAGGAAAGATATCAAATGTAACCATTATTATTGTGGGTTCAAGCTCCTCATTGAGACTTTCACAGTCCAGGCTGATACTCCACTTCAGTCCTGGAGCAACACAGCAATTGTCAGAGATGCCGTCCTTCACATGAAATGATCAACCAAGGTTCCATCTGCCTTCAGATTACAAACGCTATGGTACTAATCAAAAAGGGAAGGGAATTTCTTTCTCCCGTAGTCCAAGGCAACAATCCTCCAGATAAAATGGTTCATTCACTTCATGTCTGGTTGGGAGGCATTTGTGGGCACAAATTGACTCTTGTGTTAACCTACAAATAAATACACAGCCAAAAATATTACTTTACAGTAAAAATCCTGTGAAATGCTTTGAGACATTTCAACAATTTGCTAAGGTGCGTTATCAAATACAACGATCATTATTGTTCATTATAAGTAACATATACAAGTCCATCATTGTGTTAATTTCATAATGTAAGATTGATATGAAACTACTGAAGTCAATAACAGCAAAACATTGCTAGTCAGATACTCTGAAACACTGAGGGTGATCTTATGGTTGAAAAATTTTATTTTATTGCATTTTTAAAGGTGTTAATTATAGCCCCCGGAAAAGCGATCTGCCAATCCCCCTAACAATAATAATTATTATTTTGTTTGACGTAGTGCGTTTTCACGTTGTTGTGATGTGTTAAAGCGCTTCACAGAATTTACTGTAAAATGAATTGACTGTGGGGACGACAAAAGGCGCTATATGAAATGCAAGGCTGATTATTATTAGCAGGAGTTGTTGTGTGAGCTGTAGGGCCTGATTAATAATAATAATAATCCTTGCATTTGATATAGTGCTTTTCATGTCTTCTAGACGTCTCAAAGCCCTTCACAAAATATACTGTGAAGTGAATTGACTGTATATTTGTGGGAGAAACATAGATAAGTTATTATTTCTTATTGTTAGTCGATTGGCAGATAAATAATAATAAATATTATTTATTATTGTAAGTCCATTGTTGGATACATAAATAAGTAACGATTTTACGAAAGCACACACCATTCAGAGAGATACATCTATATTCTACAACAAATATATGGCATGTTTTCTGGTTGTCATGGGAGCTGGAGTCCTCTCATGTGGGACAGACAGACAGAGAGAGGGAGACTGAGAGAGACTGATTGTCCTCCCACAGGAGTCCTCTCAGCTGAGTATAGATAAAGATGAAATGTCTGTCTGTGTGTCTGTCTGTGTGTCAAACTACATTCCATATTGGCCCCTGTGGTTACAAGCGAAGCTGCAATGGTTACAGCTATTAGTGAATATACAAAGTTGAATGACACAACATCTGAAACTAAAGTGGAAAATGCCAAGGATATCTTTGCCTGGCCAGGAATACCAAGGGAAATGATTAGTGATCATGGGGAGACATGACCAGTGGGAGAAAAACCACACAACAACTTCACCGGGGTATCCCCAATGTAATGGTCTGGTGGATTGCGAAATACAGACGATAGAGAAAATGTGGAAGACAGACAACGCAAAGGCAGATAAGCACCTGGCAATTCTGGCCTACAGAAACACGCCGAACGACAATGAGGGACATTCACCAGCACAAATACTGATGTCAATACAGTTAAGAGATTTATTAATTTCAGACCAAACACAATTGAGACCTCAGATACAACACAATAGAAATGGAGGGAAACCACAAAGTGAACCAGGAAAGGGAGAACTTTTGCAAAAGGAGAAAAAATACCAAAAAACAGAAGCTTGGACAAAAGGAGACATTTGGAAGAAGGATAAAAACCCAAGATCATATTGGCTTAAAAGTGATAACAGAAAAATATATAGCAGAAAGTCATGGGAAATACGCCAAAGAAGGACAGAGGAAGAAAAAGAAGAGCAGATCCGAATATTCTAGAAACATCAAGAACCACCAGGTCAGGAAGAAGAGTAAAACCAACAACACATTAAAAATGACATGAAAAAAGTTAGAAACCCTGGGCGAAAACTCAGCATGTACCGAATTTTAGGTGTAGAATAACTTTGAAGGTGTATGATCAGTTATATGGAGACGAGTATTGGTAAAAAACTGAATTGCAGCTCTCCCTCTCCATTCGTGTGTTACACAACTTAGTGTTGTGTAAGGAGCACATTTAAGCAGCGCAAAGTTATGGAATTAGGTCAGCAAGTGATTTATGTAAGGGTGAAGTAATAAAAAGCTCAAAGCGCTTCACAGAATTTACTGTAAAAAGGAATTGACTGTGTGGACGACATAAGGCGCTATTTGAAATGCAAGGCTGATTATTATCAGCAGGAGTTGTTGTGTGAGCTGTAGGGCCTGGCAGGCAGGCAGGCAGGCAGGCAAGGCAGGAGCTAATGTGTAGAGCGGCCACTGAGTCAGAGTAGCGAGGGAGGGAGCGAGAATCAATCAAATAAGTGACGTGTGCACTGTGAAGGAGGGCGTAGGGAAATGAGGTAAGAGGCAGCAGCAGAAGCAGAGGGAAAGCAGCGAGCAGCAGGCAGGCAGGCAGGCAGGCAGGCAGGAGTGCGGGGGAAGAGGGGCGAGAAGGGGGTGTGTAGGGCAAGGAGGGTGTGTGGCAGCTGACCGTGGGGAGGGAGGTGTAGAGACTGCACACGGGCGTTGGGGATGGGGCTGTCTGTTTATGGGGAGAAACATATGAAAGCTGAGGCGAGGAGCGGAGGCAGTTGTGGAGGGGACAGGGAGTGAGAGCCTTTATCGCTTCTCGGCCTTTTGGCTAAGATCAAGTGTAGTATCTGTTCTTATCAGTTTAATATCTGATACGTCCCCTATCTGGGGACCATATATTAAATTGATTTTTGGAGCAGGGAGATGGAATAGGGGCTTGCTCCGTCCACTCCACGCATCGACCTGGTATTGCAGTATCTCCAGGCACGGTGCACCTCCCTCGGGAGATTGCAAACAGTGACAAATAGACAAATCCTCACCCTCCCCACTGAGTGACAACTTTGTTGGGATTGTGTGTATGTTTGATCATAACCATCACTGCATTTGATGTAGCGCCTTATCACATTGTTGAGATGTCTCAAAGCGTTTCACTGATTGGATTGTAAAGTGAATCACCAGCTCTATCAAATGCAACAACGACAACAAAATTACATCTGTAAAGCGCCTTTCACGTCGGGAGGACGTCCCAAGGCTCTGAACAGACGGTGTTACGGATCCAGCTGAGGGTGGAGGGCAGGGAAATTGAAAGCACGGTTGAAGAGGAGGGTCTTGCGGTGGGTCTTGAGGGTGGCAAGGGAGGGGGCGAGAGGGAAGGACTGTGGGATGGAGTTGGAGACGATGGATGCAGAGTGGAGAAAGCCCACCTGTCGATAGTGGGGCAAGCAAGACGGGGGACGTGAAGCAGGCCAGAGCCCGCTGAGTGGAGGGAGCGAACAAGGTTGTAGGGGTTTAGGAGGTCGCAGAGGTAGGGGGGAGCCAGACGGTGGAGGACTTTGAAGGTGAGGACCAAGATCTTGAACTGTATCCTCTGTGTGATGAGAAGCCAGTGGAGTTGGGCAAGGATGGGTGATAGGGTCGTGGAGCCTAGTGCGGAATAGGATACGGGCTGCAGAGTTTTGGATGATCTCCAGCCTGTGGAGGGAGGAGTTGGGGAGGCCGACAAGCAGTGAGTTTGCATAGTCGAGCCTTGATGTAATGAAGGCGTGAATGAGGGTTTCGGTGGTCTGCTGTGTGAGACAGTGTCGGAGCTGGGCGACGTTGCGGAGGTGGGGAAGGCAGAGCAGGTCATGGCGCAGATGTGGGATCGAAAGGATAGTTGAGGGTGAACAGGAACCCAAGGTTGCAGACTGGCTTAGCATGGTGGAGTGCACAACCATGAATGGTGCAACCATGAATAATGTGGAGTCCTGTAGCTCAATGGTTAGAGCACTCACCTCTCAAGCGAGAGACCTGGCTTCAATTCCTGGCAGGGCGAAACCTTGGGCAAGCTTCCTTACTCCATATGCATAATAATAATCCCACAAGAAAAAAGACCCAATAATAAATTGGTCACTTCAATCCACGACTGTTTGTGGGACACTGCTGTGCGCAATTTGGCTGCCGCATTTCGCCCACAGTCAATTCACTTTACAGTATATTCTGTGAAGCGCTTTGAGATGTCTAGAAGACGTGAAAAGTGCTATATCAAATGCAAGGATTATTATTATTATGAATGGTGATGCTGTCAACGCCTGAGGTGAGAAGATGCTGATGGGAGCCAATCAGGAGAGCCTCAGTCCTGTTGACGTTCAACTGAAGAAAGTTAGCTCTCATCCAGGACTTGATGTCTGACAGACATTCTGGATTATTATTAGTAACAACAACACATTACATGTGTATAGCGCCTTTCATGTCGGGAGGAAATCCCTAGCAGCTACACTGATAGGATTCATAATAATAATAATAATCCTTGCATTTGATATAGTGCTTTTCATGTCTTCTAGACGTCTCAAAGCCCTTCACAAAATATACTGTGAAGTGAATTGACTGTATATTTGTGGGAGAAACATAGATAAGTTATTATTTCTTATTGTTAGTCGATTGGCAGATAAATAATAATAAATATTATTTATTATTGTAAGTCCATTGTTGGATACATAAATAAGTAACGATTTTACGAAAGCACACACCATTCAGAGAGATACATCTGTATTCTACAACAAATGTATGGCATGTTTTCTGGTTGTCATGGGAGCTGGAGTCCTCTCATGTGGGACAGACAGACAGACAGACAGAGAGAGGGAGACTGAGAGAGACTGATTGTCCTCCCACAGGAGGCCTCTCAGCTGAGTATAAATAAAGATGAAATGTCTGTCTGTGTGTCTGTCTGTGTGTCAATCTACATTCCATATTGGCCCCTGTGGTTACAAGCGAAGCTGCAATGGTTACAGCTATTAGTGAATATACAAAGTTGAATGACACAACATCCGAAACTAAAGCGGAAATTGCCAAGGATATCTTTGCCTGGCCAGGAATACCAAGGGAAATGATTAGTGATCATGGGCCTCAATTTTCAAGCAAGGAATACAAGACATTCACAAGACAGTGGGAGAAAAACCACACAACAACTTCACCGGGGTATCCCCAAAGCAATGGTCTGGTGGATTGGGAAATACAGACTATAGAGAAAATGTGAAAGAAAGACAACGCAAAGGCAGATAAGCACCTGGCAATTCTGGCCTACAGAAACACGCCGAACGACAATGAGGGACATTCACCAGCACAAATACTGATGTCAATACAGTTAAGAGATTTGTTAATCTCGGACCAAAAACAATTGAGATCTCAGATACAACACAATAGAAATGGAGGGAAACCACAAAGTGAACCAGGAAAGGGAAAACTTTTACAAGCGGAGAAGATTTAGTATTTTGAAAGGCATTAATTATTGTCCCCAGCAAAGTAATCTGCCAAACCCCCTAATGATAATAGTATCCTTTTGTTTGACATAGAGCCATATCCACGTCGTTGAGATGTCTTAAATCATATCACAGAATCTACTATAAAATGAATTGACTGTGGGGACGACATAAGGCGCTATATGAAATGCAAGGCTGATTATTATCAGCAGGAGTTGTTGTGTGAGCTGTAGGGCCTGGCAGGCAGGCAGGCAGGCAGGCAAGGCAGGAGCTAATGTGTAGAGCGGCCACTGAGTCAGAGTAGCGAGGGAGGGAGCGAGAATCAATCAAATAAGTGACGTGTGCACTGTGAAGGAGGGCGTAGGGAAATGAGGTAAGAGGCAGCAGCAGAAGCAGAGGGAAAGCAGCGAGCAGCAGGCAGGCAGGCAGGCAGGCAGGAGTGCGGGGGAAGAGGGGCGAGAAGGGGGTGTGTAGGGCAAGGAGGGTGTGTGGCAGCTGACCGTGGGGAGGGAGGTGTAGAGACTGCACACGGGCGTTGGGGGTGGGGCTGTCTGTTTATGGGGAGAAACATATGAAAGCTGAGGCGAGGAGCGGAGGCAGTTGTGGAGGGGACAGCGAGTGAGAGCCTTTATCGCTTCTCGGCCTTTTGGCTAAGATCAAGTGTAGTATCTGTTCTTATCAGTTTAATATCTGATACGTCCCCTATCTGGGGACCATATATTAAATTGATTTTTGGAGCAGGGAGATGGAATAGGGGCTTGCTCCGTCCACTCCACGCATCGACCTGGTATTGCAGTATCTCCAGGCACGGTGCACCTCCCTCGGGAGATTGCAAACAGTGACAAATAGACAAATCCTCACCCTCCCCACTGAGTGACAACTTTGTTGGGATTGTGTGTATGTTTGATCATAACCATCACTGCATTTGATGTAGCGCCTTATCACATTGTTGAGATGTCTCAAAGCGTTTCACTGATTGGATTGTAAAGTGAATCACCAGCTCTATCAAATGCAACAACGACAACAAAATTACATCTGTAAAGCGCCTTTCACGTCGGGAGGACGTCCCAAGGCTCTGAACAGACGGTGTTACGGATCCGAGCTGAGGGTGGAGGGCAGGGAAATTGAAAGCACGGTTGAAGAGGAGGGTCTTGCGGTGGGTCTTGAGGGTGGCAAGGGAGGGGGCGAGAGGGAAGGACTGCGGGATGGAGTTGGAGACGATGGATGCAGAGTGGAGAAAGCCCACCTGTCGATAGTGGGGCAAGCAAGACGGGGGACGTGAAGCAGGCCAGAGCCCGCTGAGTGGAGGGAGCGAACAAGGTTGTAGGGGTTTAGGAGGTCGCAGAGGTAGGGGGGAGCCAGACGGTGGAGGACTTTGAAGGTGAGGACCAAGATCTTGAACTGTATCCCTGTGTGATGAGAAGCCAGTGGAGTTGGGCAAGGATGGGGTGATAGGGTCGTGGAGCCTAGTGCGGAATAGGATACGGGCTGCAGAGTTTTGGATGATCTCCAGCCTGTGGAGGGAGGAGTTGGGGAGGCCGACAAGCAGTGAGTTTGCATAGTCGAGCCTTGATGTAATGAAGGCGTGAATGAGGGTTTCGGTGGTCTGCTGTGTGAGACAGTGTCGGAGCTGGGCGACGTTGCGGAGGTGGGGGAAGGCAGAGCAGGTCATGGCGCAGATGTGGGATCGAAAGGATAGTTGAGGGTGAACAGGAACCCAAGGTTGCAGACTGGCTTAGCATGGTGGAGTGCACAACCATGAATGGTGCAACCATGAATAATGTGGAGTCCTGTAGCTCAATGGTTAGAGCACTCACCTCTCAAGCGAGAGACCTGGCTTCAATTCCTGGCAGGGCGAAACCTTGGGCAAGCTTCCTTACTCCATATGCATAATAATAATCCCTCAAGAAAAAAGACCCAATAATAAATTGGTCACTTCAATCCACGACTGTTTGTGGGACACTGCTGTGCGCAATTTGGCTGCCGCATTTCGCCCACAGACAATTCACTTTACAGTATATTCTGTGAAGCGCTTTGAGATGTCTAGAAGACGTGAAAAGTGCAATATCAAATGCAAGGATTATTATTATTATTATGAATGGTGATGCTGTCAACGCCTGAGGTGAGAAGATGCTGATGGGAGCCAATCAGGAGAGCCTCGGTCCTGTTGACGTTCAACTGAAGAAAGTTAGCTCTCATCCAGGACTTGATGTCTGACAGACATTCTGGATTATTATTAGTAACAACAACACATTACATGTGTATAGCGCCTTTCATGTTGGGAGGAAATCCCTAGCAGCTACACTGATAGGATTCATAATAATAATAATAATCCTTGCATTTGATATAGTGCTTTTCATGTCTTCTAGACGTCTCAAAGCCCTTCACAAAATATACTGTGAAGTGAATTGACTGTATATTTGTGGGAGAAACATAGATAAGTTATTATTTCTTATTGTTAGTCGATTGGCAGATAAATAATAATAAATATTATTTATTATTGTAAGTCCATTGTTGGATACATAAATAAGTAACGATTTTACGAAAGCACACACCATTCAGAGAGATACATCTGTATTCTACAACAAATGTATGGCATGTTTTCTGGTTGTCATGGGAGCTGGAGTCCTCTCATGTGGGACAGACAGACAGACAGAGAGAGGGAGACTGAGAGAGACTGATTGTCCTCCCACAGGAGTCCTCTCAGCTGAGTATAGATAAAGATGAAATGTCTGTCTGTGTGTCTGTCTGTGTGTCAATCTACATTCCATATTGGCCCCTGTGGTTACAAGCGAAGCTGCAATGGTTACAGCTATTAGTGAATATACAAAGTTGAATGACACAACATCTGAAACTAAAGCGGAAAATGCCAAGGATATCTTTGCCTGGCCAGGAATACCAAGGGAAATAATTAGTGATCATGGGCCCCAATTTTCAAGCAAGGAGTACAAGACATTACAAGCCAGTGGGAGAAAAACCACGAAGACAGGTGGCAGCTGTTCAACTTGCACTTAAGGAAAGTACCACTTATTTCTAAATGGGCTTTCCTCTTGTCTGTGTTATTTTGGTGAAGGTAGAACTCCCCTGGCCAAAGAAGAGCACATTAAAAATGACATGAAAAAAGTTAGAAACCCTGGGCAAAAACTCAGCATGTACCGAATCTTAGGTGTAGAATAACTTTGAAGGTATATGATCGGTTATATGGAGACGAGTATTGGTAAAAAACTGAATTGCAACTCCCTCTCCATTCGTGTGTTACACAACTTAGTGTTGTGTAAGGAGCACATTTAAGCAGCGCAAAGTTAAGTAATTAGGTCATCAAGTGATTTATGTAATGGTGAAGTGATAAAAAGCTCAAAGCGCTTCACAGAATTTACTGCAAAAATGAATTGACTGTGGGGACGGAATAAGGCGCTATATGAAATGCAAGGCTGATTATTATCAGCAGGAGTTGTTGTGTGAGCTGTAGGGCCTGGCAGGCAGGCAGGCAGGCAGGCAAGGCAGGAACTAATGTGTAGAGCGGCCACTGAGTCAGAGTAGCGAGGGAGGGAGCGAGAATCAATCAAATAAGTGACGTGTGCACTGTGAAGGAGGGCGTAGGGAAATGAGGTAAGAGGCAGCAGCAGAAGCAGAGGGAAAGCAGCGAGCAGCAGGCAGGCAGGCAGGCAGGAGTGCGGGGGAAGAGGGGCGAGAAGGGGGTGTGTAGGGCAAGGAGGGTGTGTGGCAGCTGACCGTGGGGAGGGAGGTGTAGAGACTGCACACGGGCGTTGGGGATGGGGCTGTCTGTTTATGGGGAGAAACATATGAAAGCTGAGGCGAGGAGCGGAGGCAGTTGTGGAGGGGACAGCGAGTGAGAGCCTTTATCGCTTCTCGGCCTTTTGGCTAAGATCAAGTGTAGTATCTGTTCTTATCAGTTTAATATCTGATACGTCCCCTATCTGGGGACCATATATTAAATTGATTTTTGGAGCAGGGAGATGGAATAGGGGCTTGCTCCGTCCACTCCACGCATCGACCTGGTATTGCAGTATCTCCAGGCACGGTGCACCTCCCTCGGGAGATTGCAAACAGTGACAAATAGACAAATCCTCACCCTCCCCACTGAGTGACAACTTTGTTGGGATTGTGTGTATGTTTGATCATAACCATCACTGCATTTGATGTAGCGCCTTATCACATTGTTGAGATGTCTCAAAGCGTTTCACTGATTGGATTGTAAAGTGAATCACCAGCTCTATCAAATGCAACAACAACAACAAAATTACATCTGTAAAGCGCCTTTCACGTCGGGAGGACGTCCCAAGGCTCTGAACAGACGGTGTTACGGATCCGAGCTGAGGGTGGAGGGCAGGAAATTGAAAGCACGGTTGAAGAGGAGGGTCTTGCGGTGGGTCTTGAGGGTGGCAAGGGAGGGGGCGAGAGGGAAGGACTGTGGGATGGAGTTCGAGACGATGGATGCAGAGTGGAGAAAGCCCACCTGTCGATAGTGGGGCAAGCAAGACGGGGGACGTGAAGCAGGCCAGAGCCCGCTGAGTGGAGGGAGCGAACAAGGTTGTAGGGGTTTAGGAGGTCGCAGAGGTAGGGGGGAGCCAGACGGTGGAGGACTTTGAAGGTGAGGACCAAGATCTTGAACTGTATCCTCTGTGTGATGAGAAGCCAGTGGAGTTGGGCAAGGATGGGTGATAGGGTCGTGGAGCCTAGTGCGGAATAGGACACGGGCTGCAGAGTTTTGGATGATCTCCAGCCTGTGGAGGGAGGAGTTGGGGAGGCCGACAAGCAGTGAGTTTGCATAGTCGAGCCTTGATGTCATGAAGGCGTGAATGAGGGTTTCGGTGGTCTGCTGTGTGAGACAGTGTCGGAGCTGGGCGACGTTGCGGAGGTGGGGGAAGGCAGAGCAGGTCATGGCGCAGATGTGGGATCGAAAGGATAGTTGAGGGTGAACAGGAACCCAAGGTTGCAGACTGGCTTAGCATGGTGGAGTGCACAACCATGAATGGTGCAACCATGAATAATGTGGAGTCCTGTAGCTCAATGGTTAGAGCACTCACCTCTCAAGCGAGAGACCTGGCTTCAATTCCTGGCAGGGCGAAACCTTGGGCAAGCTTCCTTACTCCATATGCATAATAATAATCCCTCAAGAAAAAAGACCCAATAATAAATTGGTCACTTCAATCCACGACTGTTTGTGGGACACTGCTGTGCGCAATTTGGCTGCCGCATTTCGCCCACAGACAATTCACTTTACAGTATATTCTGTGAAGCGCTTTGAGATGTCTAGAAGACGTGAAAAGTGCAATATCAAATGCAAGGATTATTATTATTATTATGAATGGTGATGCTGTCAACGCCTGAGGTGAGAAGATGCTGATGGGAGCCAATCAGGAGAGCCTCGGTCCTGTTGACGTTCAACTGAAGAAAGTTAGCTCTCATCCAGGACTTGATGTCTGACAGACATTCTGGATTATTATTAGTAACAACAACACATTACATGTATATAGCGTCATTTCATGTCGGGAGTACGTCCCAAGCAGCTACACTGATAGGATGCATAATAATAATAGTAATCCTTGCATTTGATATAGCGCTTTTCATGTCTTCGAGACATCTCAAAGTGCTTCACTGTGAAGTGAATTGACTGTATATTTGTGGGCGAAACGTAGATAAGTTATTATTTGTTATTGTTAGATTGGCAGATAAATAATAATAAATATTATTTATTATTGTTAGTCAATTGTTGGATACATAAATAAGTAATGATTTTACGAAAGCACACACCATTCAGAGAGATACATCTATATTCTACAACAAATATATGGCATGTTTTCTGGTTGTCATGGGAGCTGGAGTCCTCTCATGTGGGACAGACAGACAGAGAGAGGGAGACTGAGAGAGACTGATTGTCCTCCCACAGGAGTCCTCTCAGCTGAGTATAGATAAAGATGAAATGTCTGTCTGTCTGTGTGTCTGTCTGTGTGTCTGTTGTGTCAACTACATTCCATATTGGCCCCGTGGTTACAAGCGAAGCTGCAATGGTTACAGCTATTAGTGAATATACAAAGTTGAATGACACAACATCTGAAACTAAAGCGGAAATTGCCAAGGATATCTTTGCCTGGCCAGGAATACCAAGGGAAATGATTAGTGATCATGGGCCCCAATTTTCAAGCAAGGAGTACAAGACATTACAAGCCAGTGGGAGAAAAACCACACAACAACTTCACCGGGGTATCCCCAATGTAATGGTCTGGTGAATTGCGAAATACAGACGATAGAGAAAATGTGGAAGACAGACAACGCAAAGGCAGATAAGCACCTGGCAATTCTGGCCTACAGAAACACGCCGAACGACAATGAAGGACATTCACCAGCACAAATACTGATGTCAATACAGTTAAGAGATTTATTAATCTCAGACCAAACACAATTGAGACCTCAGATACAACACAATAGAAATGGAGGGAAACCACAAAGTGAACCAGGAAAGGGAGAACTTTTGCAAAAGGAGAAAAAATACCTAAAAACAGAAGCTTGGACAAAAGGAGACATTTGGAAGAAGGATAAAAACCCAAGATCATATTGGCTTAAAAGTGATAACAGAAAAATATATAGCAGAAAGTCATGGGAAATACGCCAAAGAAGGACAGAGGAAGAAAAAGAAGAGCAGATCCGAATATTCTAGAAACATCAAGAACCACCAGTTCAGGAAGACGAGTAAAACCAACAAGGAGAATAATTATATAAGACTGAGACACAAAGAAAAAAATATGAAGAAACCAAAACGGGAGTGATATTGGATACCCTTTAAGAAAATAAGGACCAATGAAAGGGGATCAGGAGATAGAAAGTCCTGTAGCTCAGTGGTTAGAGCGCTCGCTTTGCAAGCGAGAGAGCTGAGTTCAATTCCAGGCAGGGCGAAACCTTGGGCAAGTTTCCTTACTCCACACGCCTAATAGTAATCCCTCCAAAAAANCAAAACAATAATAAATTGGTCATTTTCAATCTACGACTGTTTGTGGGACATTGCTGTGCACAATTGGCTGCCGCATTCGCCCACAAATATACAGTCAATTCACTTTACAGTGTGTTCTGTGAAGCGCTTTGGGACATCCTCCCGACGTGAAAGCGCTATATCAACTGCAAGGATTATTATTATTATTATTATTAAAGCAGGAAGCGTGGAGAACTGACCAGAGGTTTTTTGGTTGGATTGTTTGATTTGTAACTTGTGAACTGAGAAAACGAAAATTTCTACACTTGGAGTGTTGTGAACACAACAGATTCTTTGCATGAGAGAAACTCCTTTCTCTTATTGATTTTCAACATCCTTTCCCTTTCTCCTCAACTCAGTGTCAAACTCTGCCACAGTTAAGCACTCGGAGACACTACCCGGTGTAAAGGGAGCTATATAAATGCATATATAAATATATAAATTAATTTGATGTAGCTTTTCTGTGCAATGGGCAAAAGCAACACTGTACAGAATGATAAAAACAAGTGCTGCAAAAGCATACAGCAGCACCAGGTGGCAGCTGTTCAACTTGCACTTAAGGAAAGTTCCACTTATTTCTAAATGGGCTTTCCTCTTGTCTGTGTTATTTTGGTGAAGGTAGAACTCCCCTGGCCAAAGAAGAGCACATTAAAAATGACATGAAAAAAGTTAGAAACCCTGGGCAAAAACTCAGCATGTACCGAATCTTAGGTGTAGAATAACTTTGAAGGTATATGATCGGTTATATGGAGACGAGTATTGGTAAAAAACTGAATTGCAACTCCCTCTCCATTCGTGTGTTACACAACTTAGTATTGTGTAAGGAGCACATTTAAGCAGCGCAAAGTTATGGAATTAGGTCATCAAGTGATTTATGTAATGGTGAAGTAATAAAAAGTTCAAAGCGCTTCACAGAATTTACTGTAAAATGAATTGACTGTGGGGACGACATAAGGCGCTATATGAAATGCAAGGCTGATTATTATCAGCAGGAGTTGTTGTGTGAGCTGTAGGGCCTGGCAGGCAGGCAGGCAGGCAGGCAAGGCAGGAGCTAATGTGTAGAGCGGCCACTGAGTCAGAGTAGCGAGGGAGGGAGCGAGAATCAATCAAATAAGTGACGTGTGCACTGTGAAGGAGGGCGTAGGGAAATGGGGTAAGAGGCAGCAGCAGAAGCAGAGGGAAAGCAGCGAGCAGCAGGCAGGCAGGCAGGCAGGCAGGCAGGAGTGCGGGGGAAGAGGGGCGAGAAGGGGGTGTGTAGGGCAAGGAGGGTGTGTGGCAGCTGACCGTGGGGAGGGAGGTGTAGAGACTGCACACGGGCGTTGGGGATGGGGCTGTCTGTTTATGGGGAGAAACATATGAAAGCTGAGGCGAGGAGCGGAGGCAGTTGTGGAGGGGACAGCGAGTGAGAGCCTTTATCGCTTCTCGGCCTTTTGGCTAAGATCAAGTGTAGTATCTGTTCTTATCAGTTTAATATCTGATACGTCCCCTATCTGGGGACCATATATTAAATTGATTTTTGGAGCAGGGAGATGGAATAGGGGCTTGCTCCGTCCACTCCACGCATCGACCTGGTATTGCAGTATCTCCAGGCACGGTGCACCTCCCTCGGGAGATTGCAAACAGTGACAAATAGACAAATCCTCACCCTCCCCACTGAGTGACAACTTTGTTGGGATTGTGTGTATGTTTGATCATAACCATCACTGCATTTGATGTAGCGCCTTATCACATTGTTGAGATGTCTCAAAGCGTTTCACTGATTGGATTGTAAAGTGAATCACCAGCTCTATCAAATGCAACAACAACAACAAAATTACAACTGTAAAGCGCCTTTCACATTGGGAGGACATCCCAAGGCACAGTGTTACGGATCCGAGCTGAGGGTGGAGGGCAGGGAAATTGAAAGCACGGTTGAAGAGGAGGGTCTTGAGGGTGTCAAGGGAGGGGGCGAGAGGGAAGGACTGCGGGATGGAGTACCCGAGGGTGGGTGCAGAGTGGTTAAGGCTCCCCGCCGATAGTGGGGTGAGCAAGGCGGAGGACATGAAGCAGGCTGGAGCCACTGAGCAGAGGGAGTAAACAGGATGGTAGGGGGTTAGGAGGTTGGAGAGGTGGGCGGGAGTAAGACGGTGGAGGACTTTGAAGGTGAGGACCAGGATCTTAAACTGTATCCTCTGTGTGATGGGAAGCCAATGGAGTTGGGCAAGGATGGGGGTGATAGGATCACGGAGCCTAGTGCGGGAGAGGACACGGGCTGCAGAGTTCTGGATGATCTCCAGCCTGTGAAGGGGGGAGTTGGGATGTCTACAAGCAGAAAGTTTGCATAGTCGAGACTCAATGTAATGAAGGCATGTTTGAGGGTTTTGGCGGTCTGCGGTGTGAGATATTGTTTGAGCCGGGCGACGTTGCACAGGAAGGGGAAGGCAGAGCAGGTCATGGCGCAGATGTGAAATCAAAAGGATAGTCGAGGGTCAAACAAGACCCCGAAGTTCCAGACTGGCTTACCAAGGTGGAATGTGTAACCAAGGATTATTATTATTATGATGAATGGTGATGCTGTCAACGCCTGAGGTGAGAAGATGCTGATGGGAGCCAATCAGGAGAGCCTCGGTCTTGTTGACGTTCAACTGAAGAAAGTTAGCTCTCATCCAGGACTTGACGTCTGACAGACATTCTGGATTATTATTATTAAACAACACATTACATGTGTATAGCGCCTTTCATGTCGGGAGAACGTCCCTGGTAGCTACACTGATAGGATTCATAATAATATTAATAATCCTTGCATTTGATATAGCGCTTTTCATGTCTTTGAGACGTTTCAGAGCGCTTCACAGTATATACTGCTAAGTGAATTGACTGTATATTTGTGGGCAAAATATAGATAAGTTTTATTTGTTATTGTTAGTCGATTGGCAGATAAATAATAATAAATATTATTTATTATTGTAAGTCCATTGTTGGATACATAAATAAGTAACGATTTTACGAAAGCACACACCATTCAGAGAGATACATCTGTATTCTACAACAAATGTATGGCATGTTTTCTGGTTGTCATGGGAGCTGGAGTCCTCTCATGTGGGACAGACAGACAGACAGACAGAGAGAGGGAGACTGAGAGAGACTGATTGTCCTCCCACAGGAGTCCTCTCAGCTGAGTATAGATAAAGATGAAATGTCTGTCTGTGTGTCAATCTACATTCCATATTGGACCCTGTGGTTACAAGCGAAGCTGCAATGGTTACAGCTATTAGTGAATATACAAAGTTGAATGACACAACATCCGAAACTAAAGCGGAAATTGCCAAGGATATCTTTGCCTGGCCAGGAATACCAAGGGAAATGATTAGTGATCATGGGCCTCAATTTTCAAGCAAGGAGTACAAGACATTACAAGCCAGTGGGAGAAAAACCACAAAACAACTTCACCGGGGTATCCCCAAAGCGATGGTCTGGTGGATTGGGAAATACAGACTATAGAGAAAATGTGAAAGAAAGACAACGCAAAGGCAGATAAGCACCTGGCAATTCTGGCCTACAGAAACACGCCGAACGACAATGAGGGACATTCACCAGCACAAATACTGATGTCAATACAGTTAAGAGATTTGTTAATCTCGGACCAAAAACAATTGAGATCTCAGATACAACACAATAGAAACGGAGGGAAACCACAAAGTGAACCAGGAAAGGGAAAACTTTTACAAGCGGAGAAGATTTAGTATTTTGAAAGGCATTAATTATTGTCCCCAGCAAAGTAATCTGCCAAACCCCCTAATGATAATAGTATCCTTTTGTTTGACATAGAGCCATATCCACGTCGTTGAGATGTCTTAAATCATATCACAGAATCTACTATAAAATGAATTGACTGTGGGGACGACATAAGGCGCTATATGAAATGCAAGGCTGATTATTATCAGCAGGAGTTGTTGTGTGAGCTGTAGGGCCTGGCAGGCAGGCAGGCAGGCAGGCAAGGCAGGAGCTAATGTGTAGAGCGGCCACTGAGTCAGAGTAGCGAGGGAGGGAGCGAGAATCAATCAAATAAGTGACGTGTGCACTGTGAAGGAGGGCGTAGGGAAATGAGGTAAGAGGCAGCAGCAGAAGCAGAGGGAAAGCAGCGAGCAGCAGGCAGGCAGGCAGGCAGGCAGGCAGGAGTGCGGGGGAAGAGGGGCGAGAAGGGGGTGTGTAGGGCAAGGAGGGTGTGTGGCAGCTGACCGTGGGGAGGGAGGTGTAGAGACTGCACACGGGCGTTGGGGGTGGGGCTGTCTGTTTATGGGGAGAAACATATGAAAGCTGAGGCGAGGAGCGGAGGCAGTTGTGGAGGGGACAGGGAGTGAGAGCCTTTATCGCTTCTCGGCCTTTTGGCTAAGATCAAGTGTAGTATCTGTTCTTATCAGTTTAATATCTGATACGTCCCCTATCTGGGGACCATATATTAAATTGATTTTTGGAGCAGGGAGATGGAATAGGGGCTTGCTCCGTCCACTCCACGCATCGACCTGGTATTGCAGTATCTCCAGGCAC